TGGTGTTTAGAAAGGCAAGTGGTAGCATTACTTTAATTTCTGTTAAATGTAATTGTGAACATTATAGAATACCTTTTAGTATTATATTGACTATCCATCGGCGTTAACTCAAACAATGCAACATATACAAGCACAGCAAACATTCCAACAAGGACTGTGATGGTATGTGCTTGCCTGCAGATAAAATCAAACAAAGGCTGTCAGAAAACAACTTTTTTCTTATTCCTAAAATTGGTCCAAATAGGGAATGTGCTCTCAGTCTTGAATGCAAGATAGAAAAGTCTGTAGCGCACCATCAACTGCAACACACAGATGACAGTAGACGTTGTGAAAGTCTAAACCAGAATAAAGACAAAATTCAAGATAAAAACTTGTTTTTGTATTACTTCCACTGTGGCAAACATTGGGTAACCTCATAATCATGGCTCAAGCAGTGATCAGAAAATTGTCTCATAATCACTGGTTGCTTGACCAATCACAGTGCACTATAGTCTACATTCAAGTCTAAAATTATTTTTAAAAAAAGGGGCACAAGCACGTAGAAAAAGTTCAAAACATAGAGGAGCGGGAATTAGGTTTTCAAATAATTTGAAGTCCAAGTATTGTTTAGTATTGTTTATAGTTTGAGAAGCCATATGAAGCACTTGAAAGATTCTTCCACCCTCTATCCAAACACCTCAAAGTTTTTGGTGTAAAAAAACTCGGATCCGCTCTGTTTTTTCAACTAACTTCTCAGCGTTTGGAAATCGGATGTAACAATACTTTTTCATATACGTATGATATATTAATTCTTTTTCTACTACTGCCTCTGTTTCTATTTCAGTTTCGACTTTCAGGATGGTAATAAAATTTATTCTACTCAAATACACAGAAACATCTATACCTTATTAACTGGTTTAAGGCTGTCATTGTAAGCGATATAAAAGTTCAATTAGAAGCGTTTATGAGCTGATTTAAATGGAAGTCATAATAAATGTTAATATACGTAAACAAATTGTTTACACTTATTAACCCAGACGTTATGCACGAAGCTGGTGAAGGTTATTCCTTCAACTATCAGTTTCCTTTAGTTCAAGCTCAATAACACCATTTTAGCCTACCAGAAAAATGTATTAGTGCCATCATCACTGAATTGTTGGGTCTGTTTTCGGTCCCATTCACATGCAATGGCAAAAGGACGTCGTTCAACATGGTCTCCACCATTGGCTCGTACTGTTGATTGCTCACTTAACTTCATGACTTTCTCCATAGAACTCTTACAACAGCACTGTCCACAAGTACATCTACAC